GAGCCAGTCATAGGTTCAAACCTCAGCTCAGCACATATCACCCGTATGACCCTAGGCAAAGTGTTTACCCCTGAGCACTTTCTTTTCCCAGGGGCAGGAAGACAGGCCCTGAAGCAGAAAAACTAGCCCTACACCAAGGAGACTGGTCTGCATAACCTCCCAAAGCCAGCTGAGCCCCAATTCCTCCACACAGGCTTTCCTGCCCCTTCAGCTCTTCCATGAAGTAATCCACTTAAGCGCTTCCAACTACCTTGACTCTGAGCTCCTTGAGGGCAGAGACCAGGTCCCCTATATATGTCTTGAACTTCTAGGTTGGAAGTATGTAAGAAATATTTATTGAAAATCAACAATTTCTGCTCATGACTGAGTCAGCAGCTTCTAATGAGGACTTTCGATGAAGAAGGGTGTTGATCATGATCCACTGTCAAGACCTCTAGGACCTGAGGTTTTGGTCTGTTAGATTTGTCCTATCTCATCTGGTCTGCCTTACGGATTTCTTCACGGGAACAGATATCAACATGCACAAACACGGAGAAAGAGCCAGTTTATGGACAGGATGGAGTTTCTTCCCAGGGCAAGACTAACTGTTCCTGGAAAATTTGGACCCTGATGACAAAGTCTCATCACTTAAGTTAATCAACCTAGATTTATTATTCTGCTCCCCATACCCTGAGTTTGGTGGATACCATTGGCCAATAGAGTCAATAAATAGATACTTTTAAAGAGAAAATGCCTTCATTCAAAAAGTATTGCTGGAGACTATTGTCGATTGAATAATTTGTCCACAGTATCTGCCTCTCCTGCAAAGGGCATCTCTACAGAGTCCTCCCCTGGAATCCCTCTCAGTGAAGGATGCATACTTTTTATTAATTTGACATCAGACTCAGCCATGTGGCTTGCTTTGGCCAATGGAATGTGAGTAGAAATGTTTAATTTTATCATTTAGCAAAAGCTTTAAGAACCATTGTGATATCCCACCATTACTCTTCCCTCTGCCTAAGAATGGTCTGGCTCCATCAGCCTGTGTCCCAGGACAAACATGCGAAGTGGACCTGCAGACAATCCACAGCTAATATGCACTGTGCACAAAATATAAACCTTTGCTGTAGTAAACCACTGGCACATGGGGGCTATGCTTTGTTACCATAGCAGAACTTACTGAGAGTTGACTAATACAGAAGGCTGACTCTGGACACCTCATACTCTCCCTCTGGTCTTTGTCATACTATAAATACAGAAGGCAATCAGAAGCTTATTTTTTGAAATCAACAGTAAAAGAGATACAAACTATGTCCTACAGTTACTGGGACCGTTTGGTGGGATAACGTATGGAGAGCATCTCGGACTACGTGAGCTCCATTCACGTGAGCCCCTCCCCACCACAACGCCTTTCCTTCTCACTTTCTTCCTACTTCCACGGTGGAGGGTAGGAAGCTATGGACAAATGTCTCCTTTTCTCTGTACTGGTGAGGTGAACAAATCATACACAGTCCCTATCGTAAGAAGCTTCTAAGCTAGCTTCTAGCAGGAAAATGTGCATGCTTGCCTTCTTGTATATTAAAGTAAGTTTCCAACATCCAGGTGGAAAGTTAACAAATGTTACTACAATGTATCTTGGGATGAAGGCTTTGCACTGTTCATTTTTCCCACTTTCCACCACTACCAACCAGCTTCCTCCTAGACACACACAACCCCCACCCCCACCTCCAGCTAATACTCTCTGATGCTCAAGCTGGATTAGATCACCTCTCTTTGTGGTCCCACAGCTTTCCGTACGTCTCCCTTTGCCCAACTATTACCGTGGATTAGATTTACTGGTTTATGAATTAGTTTTTCCACTAGACTCTAGGGTCTATGAGAGAAGAAACTATATTTTCCTTATTGTATTTCCAGAAGCTAGCTCTTGCCCAGAACGAGGTACTAATTTATCAATTTTTTTTGAATGAATAAATTCGATCAGTTAATTCCTTCATAACGACTTTTGAGTTCTCCTTGCAAGTGGATGGATTTGTTTTGCCATGTGCTCAGGGATTCAACTCAATCCTTACAGATGTTATTTATGAAATATGAAATCGGTATGCAAGTTACATATACCTATAGTCTAAAAGCACTCATAGAGCCTCATGGAAATTCAAATGGGCAATCCACAAATTGAATTATCAGCTCCTAATTAAGCAGATGCTAACTTTCATTAAAACTGGTAAAATTATCCCAGAAGTTAATTAATAGCTTGAGAATAACCATGAACTTCACAAAGCTGAAATCTGCCAAGGCAGGGGTGTCCTGAGGTATGTTCAGCAGAGTTTACAAGTGTACTATGTATGTTTCCATAGTTGCTTGCACTGTAATAACCAAAGAATAGATAAGCTAATTTCCTAAAAAAAGAATAGAATGAACTCAAATTTCCTTCATCTCTTGGAAGGATTACAAAATTGCCAGAATAGGACCATGTCCTTACTTACTCCTAGGCTATCTAAAAAACTTTGATTCTGTGAGTTTCCTTTTAAAGATGAGGAATGATTTTTGTTCTGTTTATTTTTACATAACATCTCTATCATCAAACATATTTTAAAATGATGATTTGGATCGGTGCAGCCACTGGAAAAACAGTATGGCGGTTTCTCATAAAACAAAAATAGAAATACCATATGGCCTAGCAATTCCACTCCTGGGTATACATCCAAAAAAAAAATCCTAATTCAAAAAGATACATGTGCCCCAATGCTCATAGCACTGCTATTTACAGTTGCCAAGGTATGGAAGCAACCTAAGTGTCCATCAACAGATGAATGGATAAAGAAGATTGATGTATATATACATATATATATATATATATATATATACATATACATATATACATATTATACACATACATCTATTATGGAATACTACTTGGTCATAAAAAATAATGAAAGTTTGCCATTTGTAGCAACACAGATGAACATGGAGAGCATTATGCTAAGTGAAATAAATCAGACAGGGAAACAAACACTATGTAATATCATGTATATGTGGAATCTAAAAAATAAAACAAACTAGTTACTATAACAAAAAAGAAGCAGACTCACAGATATAGAGAACTAACTAGTGGTTACCAGTGGGGAGGGATGGGTAGCATAGGGGTGGGGGAGTGGGAGGTACAAACTATTGGGTGTAAGGCTACAAGTATGTATTGCACAATGCAGGGAATATAGCCCATAATTTTGTAATAACAATAAATGGAAAGTAACCTTTAAAAATTGCATAAATTTTTTAAAAATAAAAATTAACATACAAAAATAAAAGGAAATAAAATTTAAAAAAAGAATCTTTCATTTAATTTTTTTTAAAAGGCAAAAAAACTTTTAAATGATGACTTGTAAACACCATCTTTCTTTGGTAGGAAAAAAATCCTTCCATCCCATCCTCCTGTTAGCCTTTAGTCCACTTAAGCCTTTTTTCTTACTGTAATAATTAGTTTAATAGGATTAGCAAAAGCAAATCACAATTCAAGACTTTGGTTTACCAACCTCTCTTTCTCTTGTTGGGTGAAATTCTCCTTCACACCCATACCTAGGCCCTGCTGAGCCTGAGAGGTACCCCAGAAGGCAAGAAGAAGGGTACACTTGCTTGCTTTCCAAATTGAAGGATGATTTCATTTGTTTTAGAATTGCCAAGCTACTAGGGGAAAAAAACGCCTTCTGGATTTTTGCCATAAGGCTTCACACAAGAAAGGCAAGCAAGAGGCAGGTATTTGGGGACCACATGGGCTGGCTATAGAGGTTCCAATGGCCTTTCAACTGGAAGATTACATCAAGCTGTCTACAGATCATATTGTCTATGGAAGATTTTCTTTCTTTTTTTTTTTATGGCTCCCATGTCTCTTCTCCCATCTGCCAGGGTTATAGTTCAAATAATCTGATGTTGCCCCCAAAATATCATGGACTCAATCTATGTAAAGCCTCAAGGCTTCAGAGCCAACAAGGTCCCAGACGGAAGTAAGCAACTAGCCCTGGAGAAGCTGCCTTCAGCAGGACCAGGATTCTCTAAAGTCCCTCCCAAGTTAACTTCTCTAGCCTTGCCAGGTTAGTACTCTTGGAACACTTGGAAGAGCACAAAATCTCCTGCCAACCTGAAAAGTCTGCTCCCACCTCCCTCGCTGCTCTTTTTCTTCTCTGCTCTCCCCTACCTCTCTGCCTCTTTCCACTTTTCCCCACCCCAATCTGCCTCCGCTTCTTCCTCACCGTCTTCTTCCCAGCCCTCTCCTTAAAGCATCCTGTGGAAGTTGACTGTAATTTTCCCCTTGAGGAAAGCTGAGTAATTCACCTCCAGAGCGTTTGCCTGGAGGAACCGCAGAGAGATAAGGTCCAAATTCGCCAACTCTTTTTCTTTTGCTCTCCCTCCCAACCTACGCTGGCCACAAGAGAGGGGAATGGGGTCTGCCTCTCCTGGCACCAGTCGGCCCCTCTCCACCTGGGCCGCTGCCTGCAAAGGGCTCAGGAGGGTGGACCCTTGCTCGCACCCCGCCGCCCCATAGGCCAGATTTATAGTGTGGGCAGCGCTGCCCTCTAGCGTTTGCAACCGGGAGCACTTAGGGCGCCATCGGCTCCAGAATTTCTCTTTTACAACCTAAGCAAGACCTGAAGCACCTTGGAGCTCTGACCCCCAGTTCTCCTCCACCACCGTCCACCGCATTGCACCCCAGCTCCCCTTTTTATCCCACCCACCCCGTTCTCTGTTCAGGGATGTCCTGGATGGCTGCAACCTACCGGTCGATTTAACAGACTGCCCCCTGCTCCTGCTCCTCCTCCTCCTCCTGGTCTTCCTCCTCCTCCCCGCTCTCGCCTCCTCTTCCAGTTGGGGCGCCCAGACTTGGCGGAGAGCAGCGCCTGCCTCCCGGCGCGCCGCGCTTGGGGCCCTGTCTCGCCGCAGCCCCGGGGACACGGCGCGGGCAAAGGGCGCCCGAGGGGCCAGCGTCCGGGTTCTGCGCGCCCTGGAGCCGGGTGCCGTGAGAAGCGGCGCTTTGGTAAAGCTCGAGAGGAAAAGGAGCGGTTTGGAGTGAGACTTCTGAAGCCACGGGACGCCCGGGTTCGCCCAGTGCGCGGCGGTTGCGCGCACCGGCCACAAGGTGAGGGGCGCATGCTTTCCGGGGGCGCCCTCGGCCTCCCCTTGACCCCGTCCGCACGCAGGGGGTCCAGCTCCGGCTGGCGGATTTCTGCAGCGGCTGAGGCTCCAAGGTGGCGGGGGTTGGGGCCCAGGGAGGGCGACTACGGGGGTCACCAGGGCATCGTGCCCGCCCCTGGACTTCTTAGCTCGGGACACCTGAGGGTCGACCTTGTGTAGAACTGTGCTTTCAGAATTCTATCCTGCTTCCTTGAAAAAGGATTTGAGGGGTCTTCAAGATGAAATACAGGTGGAAGGGGTGCTTGGAGGAAAAAGCTTGAGTGGAAATCCCTCGGAGAGGGGTGTGCTGAGGGGACCGCGGGAGGATGAGGGGGAGTCAAAGCTAACGCTGACTGAAAAACCTTTGGTTAGAAAGAATTGCACGGTTGCTCTAGCCCTCAGAAAAGAATGATGTGCTGCGCCCTGGGAAAGAAAATAGCCCAGGTGAGGAGGTGACAGAGCTGGCTTATTTCCCTAAATTACCAGATAAAACTTGGAAGTGCGAGTGACGACGGGAAGTTTAGTCTTAAGCTATTTACACCTAGTACTGCAAGGTGAGAGACTGGCCCCCTACGAAGTGAAAATGAGAGGGAATTGAGGCTAAATGGAAGTGGTTCCTGCTCCTATCTCATGGATCATATAAGGTTTTGCATTATTAAAATACAATCTACTTTTATGAGTTGCTGCCTGCGTCCACTTTGGGGTAGCACCTTACATTCAGCCTAACCCTGCTTGTCCTTGAGTTAGAAGGATGAGACAGAGGGTGTCAGCATTCCAGGATGCTACTTCTTAACCTTCCTTATTGTCCTTCCTTGCTTCCTGCACCAAATCTCTCAGAATGCAGGAGGAAATAATATAATAGATGGGCAAATGGATTGGGGGAGGGGTGTTTTCCCAAATAATTCAGGGTTCTTTTACTATTGTTCTTTCACCCCCAGCTCCAAGCAGTATATGCTCGGGTCTGAACTCGACATTGCTCCAGAATATATATTTGCCCTAGTTATACATTCAGATGTAATGTGCATGACCTTAAACACCCAAGGTGGACATATGTTCATACCACATGTTATGAATCTGGGGCTTCCCTAAAACATTGCTCATGGGGCAGGAAGCAGGAGCTGGGCCTGGTACCCTGTGCAGTCTCTTCCATGGGGAGCATATTTGAAATAGATCTTTGCAATATAGAGGTTATGAGCCAGCCTTTCTTCTCTTGCTGGTGCACTTGTTTTCCTGCAGAATTAAATGAGATGACCCTGTCTTCAACAAATGAGTGAGCGAAGGCGTTTAAGGACAGCTTAGCAAATGCAGAAAATGTGCCTGCCTGCCTTTTTCCTCCACTCAGAACTTTAGCCCCCAGACCACAGAACTATGAAGATGAAGCAGGCCTCCTAAGTGGGACTCAGCTCAGTTTCTGTATCATGTTTAAAGCCGAGCATGTTGCTTATTTCTAAAATTGCATAGCACCTCCACAACTAACTGTTTGGCTGCATGGAGGTGGGGGAGGTATCTCAGCCCAGGTATTTCATCTTCAGAGCTATACAGAGAAACTCATTCAAATCCTGATTCATCACTGATGACAGAACTTAACTATTGTGTCATCATCACCTGATACGGGCTGTAGAAGCCCAGGATTGCTGCAGATCTCTGTATAGACTGAGACTTGTCATGAAAGAGCTGAAAAGGAGCTCAGAAAAAATATAGCTGGGACTCAGGTCCTCAGAGTTTTGGCATATGCATGCCTGAACATTCCTTTAGTTGGTCATTGTTCCCTTTGTGAAGATTTCCAGGGATGAAGACTTCACAGATTATTTTCATATTAGACAGTATTGACATTGACCATTTATGTCCACCAGCTGACAAATGAAAAAAACTTTGAAATCAACATCACCAATATAGTAAACTCAAGTTTCCCTTCTCTCCTCTTGTCCTGCCCATGGTGGCTTTACTCGGGCCATATTCCCAGACCAAGTGCTCCTGGGTGTTCTCCTGGCACACTATTCCTTTGGGCACGTGTTCCCTTGCAATTCTCCCTGATATCACCTTGGTTAGCCTTTCTGATATCTGCTCAAAACATCTGCTCCCCATTTCTTATTGAATCCTGCATCAATCATGTAAATAAATTTCTATTCTTTTGAGGAAAATAACCAAGTCAGGGATTCTCAGAGATGGTATCTAAGAAGAGACAAAATCCAGGACACATCTCTAGCCCAGGTGACACTGCAATATGTTTCCATTTCCTGCTGTTTGATGAGATAATTACTGGGGAGTGAGGTGAGATAAACCACTAGCAGCACCTTGTGCCCACCTGGCTGAGGCACCTCCCTATCGCCACATTAGGTGATAATGGTGATTTTCCCCCATCCCCATCACCACCTCCACCAAGATCCCAAAACTTCAAATTGAAAGTAGATCCCTTAGCAGAACGCCTCAGGCCCTGACCTGTTAGGTTATCTTCACATTCCTCAAGCATCCCATTTCTACACCTCACCTTTACATACAGGTCATGTTTTCATGTCTCTGTGATACTTCATGGAATTTTATTTCTATACTATCCTTTAAAAGTACAAGATCTAAGTCTAATGGTTTAATATAGGGAGAACTTCCCTTTATTCCTGTAGGCTTATTTACATGAGAAAATAAGCTTGAGGCTGCACAAGAGGTGAATTTCAACCAAAGAGGGATTTATTGTTCATACCATGTGTTATCAAGGCCATCCTGTGTCAGAGATGAACCTGGGCATTTTATTCCTTTATGCTCCTCTTTTCTCCACCTCCCACATTCTTATGTGTGGGAAATTACATGAACATTAATTGCAGGGAAACACTGGAAGTGAGTATGCTGTGTGGCTGAGAAGGGGGCAGGTGGTAGGACAGGAAAGAGAAAAGGGGGGCAGATGGATGGACAGGGAAGAGAAAGGAGGGGCAGATGGATGGACAGGGAAGAAAAGACGGGAAATGGGCAGCGGCTCTTTAGTGCAGCTGACTCCTCCCCCATTTTCTCCTCTCTGAGTTATTTCTAGAACAAGCATCGTCACCCCTAAAGCTGGGGGCCAGGTCAGTCATCTTACCAAAGTCTATCTTCCGGGGAATGAAAGGACTTTGATCAATATCCCACCAACTTCTCATAATTTGATATTCATTTCCACATTTTGTAAATTAAGAAACTGAGAACCAGAATTTACAGAAATCATTCTGTCAGTCTGGTGTATTCCTGGATCACAACAAATTGGCCAAATCTTTAAGAATTCTCTTTCTAATACAGTTAGATTCTGATTTTTTTTTCACTTCTTGTTGTTTGGGTTTTTTTTTTTTATCCCATCCACTGTAGATTACCTAGTTCACTATAGTTATTGTCCTAATGATTTCAGGGTTTTTGGTTTATGGTTGTCTTCCCCTAAGACATAGCGCATAACCAGAAGGACATTTGTAATAAGTTCGTTGTTCACGCTCTCTCCTGGGTGACCTGTTCTCAACATGTACAGTTGTAGGATTAGGAAGACAAAATCCTTTGGAAGAAGCTATAAAACCCAATCCTTCAATATCTGGATCATTTTAAGTTGTGAGAGGATTGAGCGTCTCAAGGTTCTAGTTATCAGTACAGGCCAGATGGAAGGTCTTTATGAAATCTGGCATGAGAAGGAAAGCATTTTTATAGCAATAAGATAATATTTTGAAAAATAGCAACCAATGGCAGCAGCATCTTGCGGTTCTAAAACTCACATCCTTCTAATGACCCCGTCTACAGAAGTGCCCAGGTAAAGTAAAACCAGACCCTGAGAAAGCTTTCCTTAGCGGCAGCTGTTCTTTATTCCTTTATCAAATAATGGGCTCATGGTGATGTTTCCAGGGGATCTGGGAAGGATCTGACTTAAACATGAAAGTATGGGTTTAGTTGGGACAGCTTGCTGAAGAAAGTCAAATTTGTGTCAAGCTCTGTATTCTTGGGAATCAAAGACAAGCCAGAGTGTCTTTTTGGAGTAAACTCCACCAAATGAATAGTAAGATTAATAGGCCATATCTCCCCCAAAATGACTTCAACTACATTATTCTAACAATGTTCAGAGTTATCTTAAGTCCATTCCCATAAGTGGGAAAGGAGGAGGAACTGATTAACTTATAATCAGTGTCTGTTATGCTTCAGGGACTGTGCTAAGAGCTCTCCGTATATTCTTTCATTTAATGCTCACAAAAGCACTACAGGGTAAGTATTATCAACCCACAATTCATTCATTCATTTAAAAACTGCACTTGTCATCCAACTGCCAGACCTGCTGTCCTTTTCAGGAAGTTGCAAAAAATCCAGAGGGAGCAAAGGGAACACACACAAGGGGAATAGCTAGAGAGAAGGTTTTGAGAGGTTTGCTGGTTGTGGAGGGGATCCTACGAATTTGGATTTCACTCTGTAGGCCTGGCAGAATCATCACAGAATTTTTTAATGTATTTAAATGTGTTTATTAAGAATACACAGCAAGGGATAAACAGCAAGTTCATGCTGTATAGCACAGGGAACTATATTCAATATCTTGTAGTCATGACTGAAGCATTATGCTGTACACCAGAAATTGACACATTGTAAACTGACTATACTTCAAGAAAAATATATATTTTAAATATATATATATAATATATACATTAAATAATACAAAAAAGAATAAACAGCAAGGTCCTACTGTATAGCACAGGGAACTATGTTCAACAGCTTCTAATAACCTACAATGAAAAGGAATATATATATATAACTGAATCACTATGCTGTACACCAGAAACTAATACAACATTGTATATCAACTATACTTCAATTTGAAAAATTGAAGCAGGAATTTAAAATCTTCCCACAAAGGAAAAGCAAAAGAATAATATACAAGGCAGGGAGGGTATAAGTCAGTGGTAGAACACATGCTTAGCATGCACAAGGTCCTGGGTTCAATCCCCAGTACCTCCATTAAAAATACATAAATAAAAAAAC